CGGGCTGCTGGCCGCCATGAAGGTGGTGAAGCGGCGGAAGGAGGAGGGTGAGTGCGCGGCCGGGCCGGGCGGGAGGAGCAGCAGGACGGGTGTTGTGTATTCAGGTCACTTACTGTTTTTATTCAGGTGTGTTTTACCCACTTCGTCATACCACTGAATCACGTCACGCTTCGTGCCTCTGTGCTTATAACTGGCACAGAAAATTCGCAAAAAAACCCCAAAACCCCAAACTTCATGGTCACGCGTGAACATTATTGAATTGCTCTCGCTGCAGCAGTGGGTGCTCGCCCTGCCTGCCCGCGCGGGGCAGACGCGGGTGGGTTTTCTGTGCACGCTGGTTTCCCTCTGTGTAGCCTTTACGTGTGTTTCCCTGTCCCATCCAACTGCCTGTTGGATTAATTTCCATATTTTTAATTCTAAGATATTACAGCTTTTAGAGTCTTTTCAGTTTGCAAATGATGATATTTTTTCTGTTCCACACCAAGCCAAATACCTGTCCTTCTCTTTGTTGTTTGTTTTTTTTCTTAAATAATAAAAATATAATCAGGTGACAATGAAATATATGATTATGTTATTATGTTTCAAAGGAGTTTAGGGATGTATTTTATTTCGACCAAAATAAAATGCTTTTTGGAAGTCTTGTCCACATTGGGCTTTGCACAGGAGGTGTTGGTAGATCTTGACATTTCAGTGCCCTGGGCCATGACTCTGTGAGGCTGCCTGGCTCTCAACTGCTTCCAAGACTCACCTGGATGTGTTTGATCCTCTTTTGTTTTTTGTAGAGCTGGAGAAAGAACGAAACAGAGGCATTGGGAAACCACTACTAGGAGGGCCCTTCTCACTTGTCAGCCATGAGGGAGAGCCCAAGACCAGCAAGGACTACATTGGCCAGTGGGTGCTGATCTACTTTGGATTCACACACTGCCCTGACATCTGCCCTGACGAACTGGAGAAAATGATTGAAGTGGTAGATGAAATTGGTATGGGAATTCAGTTGGTGCAGTAGTCCTTTTTATGGAAGGTCCAGGTTTACTCGCATAAAATATCACAAACGGTAGTAAGTGATGATCTTTTTAAAAAAATGCTGTGTACTACTATTCAGTAGTTGAATTAATTGCTAAGTGATACATCAATCTGCCTGTCACTCAAACCTGATACTTAGAGCATGGTGGCACTGATCTTTCCACAACAGGGGACTTCTCAGTGATAAAATGTGACAGTGGCAGGTTACAGGGAGCCATGCAGTTGTGTTGTAGTTTTGCCAAGAAGTGTTTGTGGAGTGTATTAGGGTTTTTTCCATCCCCTCTATTGTATTAATTCTGAGAATGGATCTCTATGCCTTTTCTGGGAGTGACTGATGTGGAATGGAGGTTAGGGGAAGGATGAGGTGATCTTCTCAGCTTGCAAACCTTGAAGAGTTACAGAGAAGGAATAATATTAACCAAGCACAAGCACAGTGTTTGATTTCATGGCAGCTGTTTCATTCACAAATTAAATAAATAAAGCTGTACTTTTTTTTGTTACTTAGGGTGGTCTTGTGTTGATTACAGTAGCTTGGCTGTGAGCTTGTTTGAAGGGAGGTGGAAATTACTTTTATTTTTCTAAGAAAAATAATTATTGTTAATATCACAGATGGAATTTCATCTTTGCCTAATCTGACCCCACTGTTCATCACCATTGATCCTGAGAGGGACAACGAAGAAGCCATTGCCAGATATGTCAAAGGTAATACTGTTTTCTCTCTTGGTGTAATGCAGTGTAGAGCACTGAAAAGGCAGCTCTTGATGGGATTCTTTTCACTAAAATGTCTAAGTATCGTCTTTTTATCTAGATTTTTCTCCAAAGCTGATTGGCCTGACTGGTACCAAGGCACAGATTGACCAAGTGGCCAAAGCTTACCGCGTGTATTACAGTGAAGGTCCCAAAGATGAAGATAATGATTACATAGTAAGTAAATATATGGCCTTTGCCTAATGAAAGACTTGGGATAAGAACAAAATATGGATTTTCCAAGCAGAAAGCAGCTGTTGCAATCTATGCTGAAGTCCTACATTGACAGACTCGTGTTGCACTGCTGTGTTAGTATGTGTTCTAGAGGTCTCAGTTGGAATCAAGGTGCCCACTTACAAACTCAGACCCTTACTGAAATGTGTTCTAAAAATGGACAATGCCAGGCCTGTGTACAGAATAGCACCTGAGCTAGCAAGCCAGGCAGTAATTGGAACTTGTTTCTGTAATGTTTGTGTACTGTTTATGCCTGGTTGTTTTCCTATGTACTCATATGTGAAAATGGAGCTGGGAAATTAAGGCAATAGGAAGATGGAGAAATGAGAGGTAAAGTGAGTAACAACTGTGTCCAGCAGATCCAGGGAGGTTCTCCTCCCCCTCTACTCTGCCCTAGTGAGACCTCACTTGGAGTATTCTGTCCAGTTCTGGCCTCCCCAGTTCAAGAGGGACAGAGATCTACTTGAGAGAGTCCAACAGAGGCTACAAGGATGACGAAGGGACTGGAACACCCACCTTATGAGGAAAGGCTGAGAGACCCGGGGCTGTTCAGTCTACAGAGAAGACTGAGAGGGGATCTAATTAATGTCTATAAATACAAGAGGGCTGGGGGTCAAGAAGGCAGGCACAACCTCTTGTCGCTTGTGCCTTGTGATAGGACGGGGCAATGGATTCACACTTGAGCACAGGAAGTTCCACCTCAACATGAGGAAGAACTTCTTTACTGTGAGGGTTACACTGGGACAGGCTGCCCAGAGAGGTTGTGGAGTCTTCTTTGGAGACTTTCAAGACCTGTCTGGATGCCTTTCTGAGTGATCTGCCCTAGTTTTGGTCTTGTTCTGGCAGGGGGGTTGGACTCAATGATCTTCGGAGGTCCCTTCCAAGCCCTGACATTCTGTGATTCTGTGAAACTGACACTAAGGAACAGGATTTTCCTGGCAAAAGCCTTGGATGATATAAAGTCTGCTTGCAGATACTGTGTCAAATGACCTGGAAGAGAGAGCATGTTAATGCTAAAGGCCCTCCTTACTTGCCATACCCTGATCAGACTGGAAGAGTAAAGTAGGTACAGGTGGTATGACAAGTGAGGCTACATGTTACATGATCTTTAATTTTTTTTCTTCATTACAAGAACTAAGGGCATCAGCAAAAGCTAGAAACAGGTTCAAAAGGAAAGGTAATGGTTCTTGTTGCAATGGGCACATGAGAAGTGGAATCCTTTGCTACAAGTGCAAGTGGTAGAAGTTTATGGGAGTCCACAGGGAGGCTAACAAGTCTTTGGAAAAAAAAATCTGTTGAGGCTTATGAAATGCACAGAAATATTGCCTGGCTGAGGAAGCCTGTAAGCCAAAAATTTTTGAAACTGAGAGGACAGAGGAAGACAACATATTTTTTGTGCTGGTTTTATACTCTTTAAAGCAACCATTGTCGGCCACTATTTGAGGTAGGATGCTGAGGCAGATTGGTTTTGGTCTGATCTAGTATTAATCTGTTTTTTAAAAACACCTGACTGCAGCAAATAAAGTATCCATGTAGACAAAAAGGTTGGTGGAACAAAAAAAATGGTGCATAGGACGAAACAGCAAGAACAGCACATGATGTCAGTAGAGAGAAAATGGAATCGTACTCGTGATGTGCAGTGCTCTACATTACTAAAAGGTGCATGAAGTGAGAGATAAACTTGTTTTCACTTGAAGTGGGATCTCAAGAGCTACAGAAATTGTGTCCAATATGGAACAGATTTGATGGAAGAGAAGCTTGCTGAAGAAATTCAACACCAATTTCAATGAATATAACACCAATGTGAAATAAATCTAAAGATACTGCTTAAAATCATATTTAACAAAGGAAGCTGGTGGAAATGCAAGGCTAGGTTATAGGAACAGGACTGGCAAAGGATGCCTGCTCAGGAGAGGGGAGAAAAATCTGTAGAATCGGACACTAAATGAGTGAACTGAAGTTGAGGAGAGATGATGGAAATGGGCCAGAAAAGCTGGAGGAGTGCTGCTTATTGTGAAGTAAACCACGTGGATTCTAGCAAACCACACCTGGATTCTGGCATGGCCCTGAAGGGAAAGTACAGGCCTCAGACAAGGAAAATAATTCTATAGATGACAGCAGCCCTAGAGGAGGCTGGAGGATGAAACCAAACTGGAGAATGTGACTACAGAAGTAATGAAGTAGGAGAAGGGATTTGGGATCCAGAAAGAATAGTGGTCTGTGCCTAGGGCTGTGAGACAGAGAAGGGAAGGGCAGTGAGGAAGAAAGGCAGGTGAACTGGGAGCAGGGGAGGAGCCTGAGAGCCTCAAGAAGTTGTGTCAGAGGAGGAGTGCATCTGCATCTCTTCAGGATTTGTCAGACTCTTGGTTTTGAGAGACAGTGGGCTCTCTGTTTAGGACAGGAAGGGCAGAGGACACAGGTCACTAAAACAAAATGGAAAGAGGATAGCAGTAACAGCGGCCCAGGGAGGGAGAGCATGAGGCTGGTTCTGTATCTACCTGAGACTTACCCAGGTAATTACTACTCTGTCATTTCTTCCAGAAAGGCTTTTTTGATTTTCTTCATTATATCTTACATAGACCTGTCCTGCCAGTTGGTGATTAAGACTGACATTGGTGCAGGAACAGGTTCTGTTTCCTCTGCAGGCTGAATTTTTCAAGTGTTATTTGAATATTACTAGTTCCCATCTCAGTTTTATAATTCTTAATACCAGAATATCCAATTTACTTGTTTTACTCTGTGGTTTATAAGTTCGCATTACAACTCAAATTATGATCTTTTGTGCATACAGTGGGAGCAGTGCAGCTTCAGGCACAACTTGGAAAGCAGTGCTTGCTCTTTTGCACACAAACTGCACTCCATCCTGACTGCGTTTGATCTCCCATAGACTGGGGAGTTAAGATGCTTTCTGAGCAGGCTACCTGCATTTTTTAATTATTCTTTTTCTTGCTACTTTCCAGTTGAAGGATCTAAATCGTGATTCACATGCCTTAAAAATGGTCCTCTGGAACTTGATTTTGTGATCTTATACAGAACATTTGAAACTAGATTAAAATATTTTAATTAAACCTTCAATGCAGTTTTGAGAAACACTTTTAGTGGCAGAAATCCCATTAGCTTGTGGTGCTGGAAATGTTAATGTGACTTCTTAAGTGCAGACCCAGTTGTATTCTCAGTGCATTGAGTACATTTCTGTTCCTTTTTCTCCAGTGTCGATGAGATGATGTAGTCACTTGAGCAATCACAGAGTTATGGTGTCCATTTTCAGTAGGTTGTGGCTTTGTTCATAAAGGTAGTGTTGCAGTTAGATGCAGACAGCACTTGCAGTGGCATTTAAAATAAATTTACAGAGGAGTTAATTTTTATATAAATCAAATGGGAACTCCTCAAACCATCAAGTAATTGTTACTTTGAACATTTTAAAATATTATTTCAATTCGGACAGTAGAGGGAGCCCCCTCCCAGCACATGTGTTTCCCTCTCCACTGGTTCCTCTCTCTGCAGCTCCTGTGTCCCGGTGATGTTCTTGGTCCCACTGTGTGCACTGACTGTGAACAGGGTTTAATGAAATACTCTATTTATATTGGATTTATGTCATAGTAGCAGCTGGAGCTTGAATCCCTTTTGGGGGTCATGGGACACCATGAGAAGCAGGGGGAAACTAGGAAAAATGAGGAGAGACCATTACCCCACAGGTTTGCCCTAGCCTTGTCTGTGTTGTGGGAAGAGTGTCAGCAGCTTAGCGAAGATTTGTCTGCTTATAGAATTTCTTCACACATACTCAATATGCAACTAGTTTTCTCTTTTTTGGGGGGTAAGACAAGAAAAGGTTGCTGAGGTGATGCTGGGGCTTTCCTTATCTTGTGTTAACTTATTGATGGTAAGACTTGTCAGATAGCTGAAGCAAAAGCTGAGTGGGATGCTGTTGCTGCTGACTTTGAGAGATGCTCAGGATCTTTTTTACTGAGCTGTGATGTGCTCTCTTGCAGGTGGATCACACAATAATAATGTACCTCCTTGGGCCAGATGGTGACTTTGTGGACTACTATGGCCAGAATAAGAGGAGCACTGAGATTTCTGCTTCTATTGCTGCACACATGAGAAAATACAGATCCTAAACCAGAAGGTCTTCAAAGATTAATGGGAATATCACCTATGGGTTTGGCTGTAATTGGGCACTGGAGTTAAAGCAGAAACGTACACACTGGCTGGGCAGGGTGCCCACGGAGGGACAGGTTTTCCTTGTTTCATGTCACCCCCGGCTCCCCCCAGACCGAATCTCTGTGCTCCCTCTCTTTTAGGCTTCCCAAGGGATGAGCCCAGGCTGTCCCCAGGGCAGAGGGACATAAGGACACTGTCAGCCCACAAGGATCGCTCCCAGCCACTGAGGATCCTCCCGCCCGTCTTGATCCCAAGGGCCAGATCCATCATCTCGGCAGCCAGGCAGAACAGAGTGTGCCCGGCCAAACCCCGCCCCCATCCCAGCCAGTGAGGGAAAAGGCAGGAACCACAGACCTGAGAAAAGGGATGGTTTAACTGGGTGTCAGGGTCTGAGCCCTGCTTATGTCGGGAAAAGCCGGTCCCATGGCTATACGGTCAGGAGTTCTGACACCAGAAAAACCCTACTTCCGGGTTTTAAAACTGGAAGTGTCAGGATTGCCCATGGGCAACAACCACCCACTTGGGTTGGTTTTCATGGGTCCACCCCGAGATTGGGGCTGGCTGCCTACACCAGGTGTTAACGCTGTTCCGAGAGACCTGCCCCATCTGAGCGTGTGCCTGTATTATAACAGAGACCTTTATGTTCCAAAACAGTCTCCTTTTATTTCATAACTATTTGGTGATAGGAAAAGGGAAAACAGAGATACTGGACAGGCTGGGAAAGGAGACAAACTTATAATAAATACTCTGTGACATGCCTGGTGTAACAACTATGTGTATGTGTATAATTTTGCAAAAACTTGTGTTTGGAGGGGGGAGAGAAGGGAAGAAAGCTGTTGAAGACCATGATTAAATGCCCAATGCTAGTCCCGAAGTGGGTAGATGCAGGTAAGTGTAAGTATATGGCCTTTACTTACGTACTGGGGAAATGAAATATGCTTAGAAGGAAAGTAAGAGGATTTTTTGCTGGTTTCTCTTATGAGTTCTGAATCAAGTAGATAGTCTTGAGCGCAGAACACAGTGAACTGCAATGAACCGCAGGTTGCGAAAAGTGGTGAGGTGCAAGGGGCACACACTTCACAGCTACCCGAGAGATTTCAGAGTAATGATTTCAGCTCTTTTGTCTAGTGAGAGCTCTCATTATTTTGCCCAGCCACTGAATTGCAACTGGGTTACTGTCAGGACTTTGTCACCCTTCTTCAGTTTTTGTGTCTCGGTCTTCTCCCATGACAGTTCTTCACAAGACAGGATGGAAAGGAATGGAACAGCCCCAACTGCTCTTGTAGCAATCTCTTTGTAGTTCTCTGCAAGATGACCCTGGTGGTGATTGGTTATTTCTTCATCTTTTTGTCTGTTGGTCCATTTTAACCTATCAAAGAGTGCTTTTCCGTTTTTATAAGCTGATGATAGTTCACTGGCGCAGGCATTGCAACAGTGTTGCATCTTTCCTCAGCTTGCATTTAATGTCCTTGCCCTTGCCTGGTGGCCATTTGTGTCTCTGTATTTTACGTAGTCACAGTGAGAGACAAATTGATAAATATTGGGAGGGGCTGGTCCCTCACACTGCGCTTAATTATATTTAAAGAAAAATCTTCAGCTGTTTTTTTCTTGTGTGGATTTTTTAAATTTTTGTTTAGGTCCTTTTTAAGCAAGATTGTTTGACACTAAGAAAGCCCCATCCTCCCCACTTCCCTGGGGAGGTCACAGGGAAAGGGGGGGCATCAGCTGGAGAAATCACAGCCCCCGGTTCTGCTTCCCCCCACTCTGGGGGAGTGCAGAGGGAGGGAGGAAGGGATGAGGGATGGCTCTGTGCAAGAAGCAGAGAGCCAGTCTGCCCCTGCCAAGCCCACCACAGTGAACATGGGCACCCAACAGGAGGCCATGGAGGAAGCCTTGTTGGAGCAGAGAATGTCTCCACTTGGGACACTCTCGGTGCTCCCCAGGCACAGACAGCTCTCGACCAGGTCAGAGACCTCAGCCACCTCTACACTGGCCTGAAGGAGCAGGTGATCCAGCTGGAAGCCACCTAGGCAGACCAGGCCAGACCGGAGAACCTGCAGCTGCTCTTCCTGGAGAAATGTGGGAGCTCTGGGGGGACTGATGAGGGGTGCATTTTCCATGGGGACACCCTGGGTCACAGGCTTGTCATGCTCAGCGCCTGGCCCCAGGGATGATACCACTTCACTGACAATGTGCTTCCTTGGACCCCATCTATAGATAAGGAGAGCATCCACCATGTCCTGAGCCATCTCCTGAGCTAAGTGTTCTCCCTGAAGGGCCAGCTGTCCTCTCTGCAAGGCCAGATGTCCTCCCTGCAGGGCCTTGCCAGTGACAGGCAGGGCTGCAAGGAGAAGGTGAGCGAGCAGAGGTCCCCAGGGGAGCTGGGGAGATGCTGGGGAGCTTGGGTGGGGAGGGGAGAGCCAAAGGGCTCCCTCCATGCTGGGAGGAGGTGTGGGGGCCATGCCCTGACTGAGCTGGGAGAGCAGCAGGACATGACCAAGGCTGCTCTGGAGCAGTTGGTCACCAAGACAGCCGAGCTGCTCCAGGAGCAGCTGAGGCAGAAGGGGCTCCCATTGCCCCCTGGCTCGGCAGGGTGGTCCTGGCTGTGCTCCTGTCCCCATCCCCTGGCTGGGTGGCACCACTGAGCCTCCAGAGCCACCCGGGCTTGTTGGCCACATCCATCTCATCTCCCGGCTGATTCCTTCTCCCCTTCCTACAGCTGAACAAGCTGCAGGTGATGATGGAGAGCGTGCGGCAGCAGCAGGCAGAGGCGCAGGCAAAGGCACAGGGTCCCTCCTGGATGAGCTTCCGCAGCAGGAGAACCCCAGTCCGCGCCACACACGCCGCCGTCCCCGCTGCCACTGACAGCCTGTGGCCCAGGAACACGGGTCTGTCCCCGCGGGGCAGCCAGGACCCCTGATGTGCGGAATAATGACCTTACAACCTCTAAGGTTATAAAGAAGGTGTGTTTATTCAGCGCTGGGTGCATGTGGGATCGCTCCTCCACAAAGGTGCACACCCTAGAGCTGTTGGCAAGCTTATTATATGCCACAAAGTAATACATGTTCATCCATGCTGTTGCATATACATTCGGTGTCCTAGGATAGGGAGGGGTTATTACAATTAGTTCCAGGAAATGATTATCATAGTTGCCACCCCGGACTCCTCCTTGCTGCGCCTGCGCAGTGTCTCCTGAGGGTCGTGGGCAGGGGTATTTGGGATGAAGGCCGTAAGTCTTCATCGCTGTGCACTTTTCACCTCTGGCATTCCTTTCTTTCGAATCTGGTTTATTTGCTGAGGTCTGCACGAGGTTTCTGCTTTCTCAGCAAGCTCCTGTTTAAACATCCCCTCACACAATACCCTCATTTAAATTCTAAGCCTTATCTAAGCTAAACAATGCCATCTGGTTTACTCCTTACGTGCTAGTTCCCTTTATCACCCCCTTGCTCGGCACCACATTGTCACCTTCCTCCCTAAACAGGACCAGGAGCTGCTGACAAGCATCCAGATCAGAGCTGTGCTGCCCCCTCTTCCCCCTCCCCTGGGAAGAGCCAGGAACATCGGTCACAGGGAAAGTGGGGGGAGAAATTACAGCCCTCAGTTCAGCTGGAAAGGAAGGGAGGACAGGGTGTCGGGCAGCCCTGCACAAGAAGTGGAGGTGAATTTGGGCTTTGCTCCAGCTGCTGCAACACGTGTCAGGGAAACTCAGAGGCAGGGGGTCCCAGCTGCCCCGTGGCTACCATGCAGGGTGCCCGCAGCTGCCTCTATCAGCTGGTCCTTCTCATTATTTCCCCCTTCTGTCTCCTGCCCTGCTGCAGGGATCCTGAGGGGCAGAAGGGAAACCCCTTTCACCTGGACAGGGAGGCCTGGAGGAAAGGGACTCGTTGTCCCTTTATTGCATTAGCAGAAAAAAGAGATTGATTGGATCCTTGGCCTAACACTAATAGTATGAGCTTCAGCAAGCCAAAAGCCGGATTCTGGTCTTGGGCCACAGCAACCCCAGGCAACGCTCCAAGCCTGGGGAAGTGTGGCTGGAAAGTGTCTGGCAGAAAAGAACCTAGGGGTTCTACTTGACAAGTGGCTGAATATGAGCCAGCAGTGTGCCCAGGTGGCCGGGAAAGCATCCTGACCTGTATTAGAAATAGTGTGACCAACAAAAGTAGAGAGGTGATTGTCCCCCTGTGCTCAGCATTGGTGAGGCCACACCTGGAGTGTTGTGTCCAGTTTTGGGCACCTCAATTCAAGAGAGATACTGAGATACTGGAGCGAGGTCAGAGGAGGGCAATGAAGCTGGTGAAGAGCCTAGTGAATAAATCTTATGAAGAATGCTTGAAGGAGCTGGGAATGTTTAGTTTGAGAAAGAGGAGGCTGAAGGGTGACCTCATCACTTTCTACAACTACCTGAAAGGACATTGTAGAGAGGTTGGTGTGGGGAGAACTTTGTAGAGTAGGGATGATGGTAGGACTCGATGATCCCAAGGGTCTTTTCCAACCTGAATGGTACTATGATTCTATGACTCTATCTCTTTTAAAGATTCCGCTGTGTCATCAGAAAGTAATGTATTTAGGAATTCTTCTAAAAGAAGAACAAGAATTAATAGACTCAGAACGGGTCCAGGCTACTGTAGAATGACCTTGACTTTGTACCACTAATACAGCAGCTAACTCTCATCTGGAGAGTGCTGCCCATTCACAGCTCTTTCCTTTCTTTCCCTCACTGAATATTTTTTCCTATTTCAGTATTTTAAAGAGCTGGCAGGATGTTTTGGGACCCCTTCCTCTTTCCCCTGCCCTGCTGGGGCTCCCAGGCACTATGGATCCTGGTTCTGAGGCAGGCTGCCTTGTCTGCAAGACCCACAGGGTCTAAAATAGTGCTGCTCCCTGTGGAGAAGATAATTGAAAAAAAACAACAACAACAACAAAAAAAAACCCTCCCCAAAAGTTTCATTCAGAAGCA